AAAGTGGTTGGAGGAGAAAGAGCTCAAGGACAGAACCTGTCATATCTCTCCGTAATGAGTAAAACAGAGCTGCAGTAATTTACCTCCGGTTCTACATCAATGCCTGCATGCTCCTTTTTATTCTCCTCTACTCCGACCCAGCCCACATAAATCCAAATCCTTCAAGTGGCAATCTTTAATCTTGCATTTGAATGAATAGCTTATATTTATTTAGGGCAGAGCACAACTGCTTTAAATTTACATCCAATTCTTATTCCTCTATGATATATGGGAGGGTTAGATTATACACACACACACACACTGCAGTACACACACACCCATTCCCTGGTTGTGTGTCTGACCTCTGAGGTCTGGCTGAACAGTAGACCATGGTGGGGCTCTAAGTGGGTGCAGGCAGACCAGATGTGGCTGTCTAACCCCACAGACCTAACAAGTGGCTGCTTGGCCAGTAGCCTCACCGCCGCTCGGCTGCTTAGCGTGATGCCTAGAAAGCCCGTGGACACGGTAGTGAGCCACCAGTATAGGGTGCTGACTCTGAACAGAGGCTGACTGAGGTTTGCTCTGAGGTTTAGACGAGGGCTGGGCGAGCCATCTTTAAGCTTCATGTTAACTATAGGTCTATTAAAACCATGTCCTTGTGTCTTTCTTGGTTTGTGTAAAGCTCATTAGGATTTTATGTGGCTTTGGGTCAGTGGTAGACCCTAGCAGTCTTCATAAATTCTCACTGTTTTTGCTCATTATTAACAGTATACTCAGAAATGTTTTGCAAGGAAATTATAACTTTTTTTTCCAGCAGAGATGGGTACAGTAATACATTACTGATGCAGTTTTAGTCTATTGCTGAATTCTCAGATTGACATCTCATCTCATTGTTTCTCTTCCTTTTGTCTATCATGGATGAAAAATAACTGCAATCTTTTATTGGAAGCATTCCCAGTACTTAGTATTTATTCACCAAGAATAACTGAACATTATATGTGTATGGTCTCTGTGATTAGTTATCCTAAGATTTAAATGTAAGAAGGGATACGATCTCCAATTGTGATGGTTAAATGGAAAGGTAGAATTACTGTAGTGTTTTAGAATAAATAAAGGAACGCCATTATTTGAATACGTTATGAATAATGTGCAGTATAGATTATCGAGCTTACAAAGTAGTTCGAGATTTTCAGCAATGCGCTTATTCGTTTTCTTTTCGAGAATTAGGTGAGACTCTTTCATGTCTGTGCGTTAAATGTGAGACTAGAGCCGGGAGTTGGTTACTTTAAACTGGGGGGAACAGCAAGCCCGACTCTGTCAAGGAAATGGTACGGCAGGTAACGCGTCAGTTTATGTACAGATTAAAAAAACAGGATACAACATGCTAATTAGTTAGCTTTTTTTTTTAGCCTTTGGACAAAGAAACATCTAGCTTCCTTTCTTCATTTGGACTAAGCTAAGCGTCTCCTAGTGGTACCTTCATATTTACCATACAAACATTATCTAACTCTAAAGTAGCCCAAAACTAGTCATTAACCATCTTTCAGCATCCTCCTCCAGTTGAAGGTCAGTAGGATAACAAGGTAGCCAGGACTCCTCAAGGTGATTATCAGAGTTTGCAGGCTGACACAGGATCTTAAAAGTTTACCCAGCCTGCCGATCATGAGGGTGACGAATTTCACCCCTCTGCTCTAAAAGAGTCATTTGCAGCTGAGGATTCTGGGAGTGTGAAGAGTCTGGTAGTGGAGGAGCTGCTTTGGATTGTTTGTTTTTTTTTGCCTATTAGTTTTGTAGTCTTTCAACTCTTAACATTTTTATCTGACGTTCTCTTCTCCTAAACCTCTGTTTTTTTTTATCCAGCTTATCTGCCCCCCCTCGCCCCCCTCTTCACCCCTAATTCATTCAGTGTCAGCTACTTTCAGAAAAACTTTGCTTACCATGGTGCGGTCACAACAGACGAAACCATGAACAACGGGAATAAACTCCCATCATCAACAGATTACAGACTTGAGCGTGGCTCCTTTTCCAGAAATATGTAATACATTGCACATGGGTACTAAATGTGTCCCAGATGCGAGGGGTTCATGTGTTGTTCAGGCTGTGCTTTTTGCACCCCGAGATCTGTGCTATGTCATCATAAATGATGCTCTCATATCTGCTTCCCAACACGTGAGAGATTTTTAGAACCTATTGTTTAAGTCGACACAACGATCTATTCATTTTCCAGTTAAGATGGGGTGAAGCTTGTGATTATTTTTGGCTTAAACCTGCTGACTCACCCCGAGCATTGATCAGATATTGTTTGAGAAAATGAAAGTCTGTTCCAAAAGGATCTGTTGAAGTACTCGGTTGATTTGTATGTGTAATCAATAGAGTTCACGATGCATGGTAAGATCTGTGGCCTTTGGAGGATCAGATGGACGTGCAGCGTCAGCCACAGCAGTTAAATGCAAAATAGTTCATGATCAATAGATCAGAGCCAGGTTGTCTCTAGCTCTCTGTGTTAAGGGGTGTGCTTTGAGGCTAGAAGCCGCTATTGGCCGTATATTAACTGAGGGCTCAGGGGGATTGAGGGCTGCCGACACCAGAGAATGGCAGAGTGAAGTTCTGCAAGACTAGTATGTGAAGTACTGTGGCTGACGAGCTATCCGCTAACATGCTAGCCAGCCAGGAAGATGGCCAGCCTGTGTCCAAAACCATCCCTCTATTTACTATATAATGTACTATATTTGCCGCCATTTTATTTGAGTGATCGAATTTTGGGCGCGCAAATGTATGACAAAAACAGTTTATTCAAGAGGTGTGTTGTACCATCATCAACTGTAAATAAATGTCGAATTGTTTATTTTGTGTATTAGGTCATACTCTGGCATAGGATGTTAAATACAAGGGGGTGGCGCAACACAGCTAGTGAGCTATAGTGGCTTATTCTGTGTTGGACTCTCCGTCTCACCTCAAAGACGAGCGCTGCATCTCCACTGATTGCAGCAATTCCATTGAAATTACTAGATTTTTCCACCACATTTAGTTTTAATTTCTGGTGTGACTGGGCCTGAACTGATGGCCGCAGGCAACCAATGGGACTACTGTGAGTGTCTTGAAATTCTGCCCATTTATTGACTGATGCTATCACAGCGGCCTTGTGTCAGATTCCCTACTGGTCTGATCCATCATGCAATGTAAACAGTATCCTCTAAATATGCCACTGGGCGGTTTACATACAATGGGAGGTGAATCAGCAATTAGACAAATCCATAGGTCAAATCTAGAGAGTGCATGAATGTATTGGCATGTAGCTTGGCTGTAGATGGATGGGCTTGGTGATACCGCATACTCTATCTCCCCGTCGTGTTTTTCCCTCTCAAGCTTTGTATCACAAGCTCTCCTGCTTTTCACACTACCTTTTATGCTTCCCTCTCTCGCTCGGCCTATCACCCATTGATGTTGCTTTTATGATCTGTTTTTATGATCTACCTCTCCTCTGTCTTCCTCTCTCAGCTAACCTCTTGGTGTGCTGCAGGGTAGGAATAGCAGACTGAGTGTGATTCATTCTGACGCCAGCATCAGTCTTGTGGCTGGCACAGTCTTGGCATGCAGATGCACACAAGCTGACACACACACACACACACAGAGCAGCCTTTCCCGTCCAGAGTTTCCTCTAATGACTGGTACTCTGCAACAGATACCAGAGAGGAGCCAGAGCAGGCACCAAGCGTACTTGAGCTACAGTGCTGTGCTGTGATTAGAAATGGAGGATATCGACATCGCCTTTTTGCAGAGTAGTATGTCACACTCTGTTGTGCTACCCATAGCTGATGGGTTTGCATGAATTCTGGAAAAAAAACAGTAGCTTGAAAAAGACTCTCATATAATTGTTTGCATGTTTTTTTGTGTCACACATGTGCTTTTTGGCACACACATGCCCAGTGCGTGACTTTGCAGCATCATGTGTTTGCACTATCTCTTTCTGTCAGGCCAAAGTGTGTGTTAATGTGGTAACATGTGGAGCCCAGCAACAGAGGCGAGAAGAATGATACACAGTGATTAGCTGTTCCACACTTCAGCAGCTGGCCACAAGTTTGTTTTTTTTCTTTCTTTTTGTCCATGAAATAGCTTCAAGTCAGTGAGCATGTGTGAATATTCTTAAGGGAACTGATGCTGATGATCACTTATTTGCCTTTTAACTCAAACCAGGCTTTGGCCACTACTTCTCCTGTGGTCTTCTACATGTCCATGCCTCACTTACGTTGGAATCTGATGATGAGTTTGCGAGATGGATCATGAGAATGAATGCTGTGTTTATCGCCAGCGACGCCTGTGCCGCTAATTCAGAGCCACTCGCACATAAATGGAGCTGAAAAAGCAACAGCTCGTCCTTCTTTGTGCACACATGTTGATATGTTTTGTGCATGCTATGTGTTCTTATTTCATGTGTATATGTATCCTCAGTGTGTGTCCTCGTTCTCATGTCTGAATCCTTGCCAGCCTTTCATTTTCCTCGTGGCTCCTCCAGTCAGTCTGCTCCTTTTGAACAGTGGCTTCATTGATGCTCGGGTCTTCTTATCCTTCGCTCTTGCCTTGGACAGTTTTAACTGATCCCACACTAACCTTACTGTTCCCCAGTTCGTGTGTGTGTGTGTGTGTGTGTGTGTGTGTGTGTGTGTGTGTGTGTGTGTGTGTGTGTGTGTGTGTGTGTGTGTGTGTGTGTGTGTGTGTGTGTGTGTGTGTGTGTGTGTGTGTGTGTGTGTGTGTGTGTGTGTGTGTGTGTGTGTGTGTGTGTGTGTGTGTGTGTGTGTGTGTGTGTGTGTGT